ATGCCTTCTCTATCTTCTATTTTATTCGAGTATAAGGATTCAAAATAATTTCTGATTATCTTCTGTATTTCTGAAGTGTCTGTTGTGATATTGCCTTTTTCATCCCGTATGCTAGTAATTTGAGTTCTCTCTCTTCTTCTCTTCCTTAGCATGGCTAAGGGTCTGTCGATTTTATTTATTTTTTCAAAGAACCAACTTTTAAGTCACAAGTTTTCAACTCTGCAATCATAAAAGGTATTCAAACACTATTTCAGTTACCAGTATATTTGTTGCTCAATTTAAGTTTTTTATAGATGTTGCATATTTGGAATGAGGAGTCAAAATGGGTTAAGCAAACAAGTTTCTTTTAGGATCTCAACTATGTCAAAAAAAATTTTCATAAAAGGCRAAAGTACACCACAATAACATGAACTATCCATCAAAGGAATTATAAGTGATTTTTTGTTGTCTCTAAACTTTTGTGCGTTTTTCAGTCTCCACCATGAGTGCAGATTATTTGATCAACCAAAAAAMCAAAAAAAAACCCGCACAACTATTTCTCCTAGATATATGATACTTTATTTTAAAATATTTTCTGGGCTGTTGAACATTGTTTGAAGATGTATAATAGATTGAGGCCTGGGGGAGGCGAGGGGGTGTCTATCAGATGTTTTTGTTACTGTTTTAGTGAATGGTGGACATAATTTGTGGAGCATCAAAGTTCCTGCCCAGTCTAGAAATGTGTCTCCTGGAACTTGAAATTGCCTTTTCCCAAGTCAATTATTTAGTAAAGGTGGTTTTGTTTTGTTTTCATGAGTAGTTTACTAATAGTGGAAGTGTAATTAACCCACCAGAATCCAGGGAATATAGTCAGCAGGAAGTTGAGAACCTAATTGTACAATGGAAACACAGGGAGGGTTTGCTAAAACATGCATGCCCCCCCCCAGGAAGACTTGAGAATTTGCATTTCTACCAAGTTTTCAGGTAATGCTGCTGTGGTGGTCTTGTGACCACCCTTTGACACTCCTTGCATGAAAGCATATTTATCATCATATTTATATTTTATAAGTWTTTATATATTTTATAGCATACTTAAATTTTATCATCAGTAGAACCACCCACCAGAAGCCAGTATCTGGGGAGTGGGAGAGCACTGAGCTGGATGAGAGCCAGGAGGTCCTCATGGAAGATCTAGGGCTAAAGGTCCAGAGGAAATCTACAGTTTCACTGCCAGGCCAGCCAGGTGGACATCTCAGGACTAAGGAGGAAGGGAGGAAAGATGGTAATTGAAATAGTGCTTTGTAGGGTAAGGATGGGAAGGTCACCTTTATCATGCTTCCTACATAGTTTGGTCATTGCTACACATGATAATTTTTTCACTGTAAATGGACTTCCACTATTGGGAAAGAGATCCTTACTTCCATTTTAACTTCAAAATGGTAATGACTGATGCATTTTAGTGATCTGAATAATTGAAGTTTGAGAGAAAATRGTAACAGAGAAAATCATGCAATAAAAATAAGTGCTGAGCAAAAAAATATATAATGAGGGCATGGCTCAAAAACGAAGGTGACTTTTTTTGTGTGTGTGTTGCTTGACTTCATCTAGAACTTAGAATACACTCTGGTCTTCCCCTCAGAATCATTCTCTGCATTTTCTCTCTCCCATTGGTTTACTGCGASGCGAGGCTCCGCCACCAGGTGGTGCGGTTCCAGCGCTTTCCCAAACGTGGTCTGCGTGCACCATAAACAAATAGATTGGCTGAGGCGCACCACCCAGCTCCGCGCTCCGCCCCCGGCGCTCTAGGATCACAACACCATCAGGCCACCGCGTCACCGCCCGAGTTTTGCTAGATGGTTCCCAGGCACGAATTCCTTTTGGGTAACTGGGTTCGGGAGAAGAATTGCTCAGTTTTGGGGGCCGAGATAAACATATACTGCACTGAGGAATGGGGTMTTCAATGGGAAAATTGTCTCCAAGTATTCTCTTTTGCTAAAACCTCGCCACCCTCTCCAACTCAGGTGGAAAATAAGGGTGACAAAAAAGGAAACAAAGCATCAAAGCCAGATACTGTTGACACGATTCTAGAAATATCCTCCCAGACTGGATTCCAAAAGCTCAGCTGCCCAGGTCCGGGAGTCCCCAACCCAACGTTGCGCACGCAGARGCCGCAGGATGAGAAAGACTGTACCGGACCTAGGAGAGATCTCCGGCTGTTGTGGCACTGTCAGAGCCCGACCCCGCCCCGGACCCCAAGCCACGCCCCTCTAGGCCCCGCCCCTGAGCGCGCTGGGGGCGGTAGCAGCACCTCCCAGAAAGGGAGGAGCCGACGACGCCTCTTTCCTTCCTGACCTGCGCGCGCTGCTTGCAGCCGCCCGCGCCTGCTCCCTCCCTTGTCAGGCGCTGGTCCTGAAACAGCCCCGGGAAGTGAAGAAGCAGCTCGGCGCTCTGCGGAGCGATCCCGACCCTAGCAGATGTGCGCAGCCCCGCGTGGCCGCAGCATGAGCGCGCGCGGTCCAGCCCTGTGCTTCTTCCTGCTCTTGCTCTGTCCTGCGCAGGTGAGCGGCGGTCGACCRCGGCGCACTGTAGGGGACGTGGCCGGGCCGCGAGTCCGGGAGATAGCAGGCAGAGCCCCGGGTTTGGCGGTCGCTCCCCCGAGGCGGGGGACCCAGGACGTGGGAGACTAGGGGGCGCGGACCGGCAGGGCCTAGGGAACTTGGTCTGTGGGTGCAGTCCCCGGAGGCTCCCCCACGTCTCCTGGCTCCAGCCACACTCTTCCCTGTGGTCTGGAGGAGGGTGGCAGCTGGGGGCTTGCTTGTTTGACCTATTTAGAGATCATTTCAACTGTGRTCATCTAGTTTCTCCATTTAAGATATGGGGTCAGAGGGAAGGGGGGACGGGAACGGTGGGTGAAGAGGGAACGATCGGGACTTAATCTTTTTTTTCTAACTCTATATACACATGAACTCTGTGTAAATTTGTTTAGAAGATCCAGCCACTTTATTTCCTTTTCTCTCCTGAGAATGGAAGTGTAAGGGGAGGTGAAGAATGGAAATTCATGAAGCACCAAATTGAAACAAACTTGAGTACTTTATATAATGTAGTCAGCTTGATCTTCTAAGGGGTGCAGCTTGCTACTTATCACCTCCTCTTTAACATTTCAGGAAACTGAGGCCCAGAAGTGGGTAGTTGAATTTCCCCTTGTCACAATTAGCTAGTGACAGAATGGTCCTGGAACTGTGTCCTGACTTCTACTTGGTTTAGTAGCCTTGGGCATTGGCCCCTCACTGGTGTTTGTGTGTCTACAGTTTTCTCTTTTAAAACCWTGGGGAATGGGGGAAATACCTAAGGACGTGGGTGTTGATGAAATCAGATCAGGATGAAAGAGTGGCCCTCTGGGAATTCTGTGCCCACTAACTCCCCTCAAATAGGTGGGTCATTAGCTAATGGAGTGGTGAATCTGTGGGAAGAGCAGATTAAGGGGTTCTGTGAAAAATCTATTCTTTAAACTTCTGTGTAGTGCTCAGAAGGGTATAGGTGATGCTGATCCAGTAAGGGCCCAAGAGCCTGGAAAGGAGCTGCTTCCTCCAGAAGTGTGTGTGTGTGTAGGTGTGCAATCCCCAGCTCTGTGGGCTTGTGGAAGAGCCCACATCTAATATCAGGATATCAGGATGAATCCAAAGTGAAAACAGATTTCGGAGGAACAGTTTGGGATAGGGTTGAGGTTCAGGAGTTAGATCAGTCACCAGCTCTGTGGCTTTAGGCATTTTACTCTCAGGCCCTAAAATCTTCTAAAGATAAATAATACTTTATAGAGTTATTGGAATTATTAAATACCAAAATATTTGGAGAGATCTCATCACTATGCCTAAACCCTGTAAAAGCTCAAGAAACAGCAGTTTCTCAATAGCCCTAGTGAAAATATAGCTACTCAGTTTCCATAGATCAGGACCTAATCAGCAGGCTTCACATTATTAAGTAGYTTTAATTTATCTCTGCATTCCTTTTGTTTGTTTGTTTTCTGGGTTTGATTTTTGTTTGTTTGTTTGTTTGGTTGGTTGGTGGGTGGGTTTTGGTTATCTTGGTACTAGGGATTGAGCCCAGGGTGCTTCGCCACTGAGCCACATCCCCAAATCTTTTTATTTTTTTATTTTGAAACAGGGTCTCACTAAGTTGCTTAGGGCCTCACTAAATTGCTAAGGTTGGCTTCAAACTTGGGATCCTCCTGCTTCAGCCTCCAGAGCCACTGGGATTACAGGCATACACCCAGGTCTGCAGTCCTTTTACCTCAAGGCTAATGGCCCTGATGGGTGCCTCCCCTCTAGGGCAATTGGAATAGATCAAAGATTGTGAATCTCTTGCAAAATTCCTGGAAGCCTTTTCAAGGTCTGCAGATCTTAACAAAAAACACTCCTATTGCTATTTTTAAATTTAACTCCCTCCAGTCTAGAAATTTTCACTGCACCTGACAGATGGGGGAAAGCCTGGAAGCTAGACAGATTGGGGGAGGGGATATCTGCTTTTAGAAATCATACCAATGATAACCACTCTTCAGGTTTCCATCTGAGCACTAATCAGCTTCTCTTGGAATTACACTAATTATTCTTTGTAAGGTTTGAAATACATTTCAAGGAGATTTTTGCTTTTCTTAATTTTTACTATTTATAAATGATGAAATAACATTACTAGACCAAATGATTTTAAAACATTGTGGTTACCCAAATAATGCAAGCGGTTTTGAGAAAGTTACACTCTCCTGAGTGTAACCTTTTTAATTTTTAAAAAAATTTTTTTAGTTATAGATGGACACGATATCTTTATTTTGTTTATTTATTTTTATGTGGTGCTGAGGATCGAACCCAATGCCTCACATATGCAAGGCAAGCACTCTGCCACTGAGCCACAACCTCAGCCCCTGAGTGTAATTTTTAATAAGCTTTTTTCTTGAGGGTCTTTAAACTCAAGCGAGGGCTGAGAGAAATTAAGCATTGAAGTGACCTTTCCTGAAGAGAGATGAAATGGGTTCCTCTTTAGACCTGGAGTGGGATGGAACAACCATTTGAAATTGAAGTGAATGTGGGTAATCTTGCGCAGCCTCCCCTAGTCTTTGACTATTGGGGTGATTAGAAGTCTCATTAGCCTAAGTCTTCAAGGGGAAAAAAGAGATTTTTTTTTTTTTCAAGAAATTTTAGCAAGTGGGTAGAGAGAAAAGGATTTGCTGAATGGGTCTTTGTATTTCTCCATGTTTGTTCTATGACTCAGAACAAAGAATGCCTCTGATCATGAAGACAGTATGATCTCTCTCTCCTGGGTAACCCTTCCTCAGCCTTCACTTGTGAAAGGGATGCAGTGTTTTATGCACAGCATATTACTTACTGGGAAGCCTGGATTAGGCCATCTCTCATCTGATCTCAGATCTCAGGTGCTCCTTTCCACCTTGTCACCCACAGCTCTGTGAAGGGCATCAGTTCTCCAACAAGATTAAACTGTTAGCTATCAGAATTGTGCCCCAGTCAGTGTGCTACATTACATGATCCACGATGTTTGCATCCTACTCTGCAGCTAGGATACCTTCTCTCTAAAGTTCTTGGCCATCAGAATTGAATTTGCAATTGGTTTCTGGTGATCGAAGTGATCAACTGGATAGGCAGCTTTTCCTTTGCCTTGAGCTTTCTTGGAACATTTGCTTTGGCAATTAAAAAAAAAAAAGAATCAGAAGAAGAAGTAAAAACTCTCTGATGCACTTGTATTGTTGAGAGGATTTGAGAGATGCTTTAAAATTTTATTCTTCATCTTGTTACTGTCTCTTCCTTTGAGGAACTCTGATTTCCTTTAGGGGCTCTGGGTACAATATAGGATGCAAAAAAATGAAAGAATTACCCATTTGGAAAGTAGTCCAAATACTTTAAAATGCTGTGTTTTAATGTTATTTGTTGTCCCTTTCTTATTCGTAGTTAATGAGGGGAAGAGCGAGGATAAAAATATATATATATATATATATATATATATATATGGAAGTCCTGAAATAAGGATGAGGCCCAAAGGAGTTCATTTTTAAGTTCTGTTTTGAAGAGTAAATTGACGTATACCAGGCGGACAAGAGGAAACAGAGGAAAATGGGGGAAGCAGTACCTAGAAATGATTCATGTTTGAGGAAATGCTGATTACCCTGATTTGATCATTATATGTTATATACATGTATCAAAGTATTACTGTGGTCCATAAATATGTAACAATATTATGGAAAAAAAAACCTAAAGTTGAAAAAATTTTTAAAGAAAATGAGGGGAAGTTACTTAATTGCTCATTAAAAACCATGGGACACTTGAAAAGGGTGAATTTAATCATTCATAAACCTGTTAAAAATTGGCAGGGAGTCTATTCTAGATTACAGAAAATTGAAGACAAAAAATAGCTACCTAATTTTTGCATAGTGCTCCATTGCTGTCACATATCTGTTCTTACTTTGTCTCATACAACTCCTTTAAGATATTATGACTGTTTTTCTTGTTTGTAGATACAGTGGACATTAAAGCTCAAATCTGTGCTAAGGTTGCATGGCTCATGAATGGCAGGCTGAGAGCCTGAATTACTGTCTTCTGATTTGTTCTCTGTTTTATTCAAATTCAGAATATTGCTACCTGATTACTTATGTTTAACAAGCTAAATTGAATGGCTATTCAGCAGACGTTTCATTTGGCCAATAAAGCATCTCATTCAAGGCCTATGCCCATCTCCAGTTTGGCTTCTTCCAGTAATTGGTAATAAACTAGAGATGGAATTAGCCTGCTGGTCTCACCCATGGCCCTGTTGCCACATTGTGTGAACATTTCATGATAATCTGCACAGACCATGTACTGACACCCATTTTCATGGTTTTGTTGTAGTACTGTGGCTTTTGGGTTATTTTTCAAATTTGGGGTTACTAGAGCTCAGAAGTGTCTAATAGCAATTAGCAGTGTGACATTGGATGAGTTAAATACCAAACTAAAGGGATTATCTGTAAAAGGAAGACTTGGACAAGCTGAACTTAACTCTAGAAACGTGACTGAAACACCTATAGACAGGCAAGTCTGGTGCAGACGGATTAACCTTTGTTATATGGATATGTTCATGCCAGATTGTCCATTAAACAGTTATCAGAGACTTCCATCAATAGAAGTCAAACCAGCCTGGCCTCCACCTCAAAGCTTCTGCCTATTTGTGTGGTCTGCTTTCCTGACTCCAAAGAAAATAGCAGCCAGTGTAATCTCTGGGCAGGATTCTCCATTCCACTCCTTCCACCCGTCATCCTGCCTTGTCCTGACTGGCCAGGTCTGTGTCCCTGCTCCTAGAGAGGCAGTGGGCAGTGGAGTTAACTAGCAGTCACCTTCCCTCCTTCCCTTCCAGGAGCTTGAGCTGGGTGTGTCCCCAGGTTCTGCCATTGGCTTTACCTATCCAGGACAGCAGCARCAGTAGCAGGAGGGACCCAGCCCTGCCCTCTTAATTGTGGTGGAATGGTCGGATGCTGACCTGGGGCAGAGGGATGCCAATGGTTCTGAGGAAGTGAGTCATTACT